TATACATTTTAGTGAAATATTCATATTTATCGTGTTGCCATTCATTGTGGGACTCAGAGCTCCCATGGACATAAAGCCGAATGGTAACCAAATTTTCTACATGTCCATGCTATTTATAGTCAATAATCAAAAATTGGTGATAATTATTCTGTAATTTATTATGTAATGTTACATCAAAATTGACAAAAATGCACTGCTACAATAAACATTATGAAAAGAAACTGTGTTACTTATTATTATTATTTTTAACTTACAAGTTTGATTTTTAGGATTGGCATGCAGTTCAAATTAGAAAGCCAGCTCAATTGGGTTATCATTTATAATTGAATTTATGCAATTTTGTGTAAAATTTTCATTTTTCTCATTCTGGCACTTTCAAAGTGTGAACTCTCATGGGCCTGAAGCCTTATGCTTGTTTCATATTTTATTTACATTGGTGTTACCTGTTGAGCATAATTAAATTTTGATGTTGAATTTGCAGTTAAGCATAATGTACTTTTGTATCAGAATTGACAGCAGCCTATTTTGTGTATTGTTATTTTCAGCTTTTTGTCTGTACATTTGACAGCTTTGCTGCCTTGTATTACAGTAAAGATATATATATATATATATATATATATATATATATATATTTCTTTTTAAGAAAAAGTTTGATTTAATGTACATTTTTCCTGTCATGGAGTCTTTGGAATATTAAGCTTACAAATTAAATCAGACAGTGCCAAGATATGTTGGCAAAATGATTTTAAGTGCAATAAATGATAATTGACGTTGTGCATTGTATCAAATAAATTACTGGATGTTTTGTTGGCATTTGTTCACCATTTTATTTGAATGTTAAAATGTATAAATAAATCACAGTGACACAAAAGGAAAAATCAATTGTATAAATGTGACCATTTATTTAAAATAAGCCAAAGGATTACACAAAACAAATGGGTACAGTAACAGAGATGCCAACAGTGGGAAATGCAGAAAAAAAAACTTTAGGGAAAGGAGATTAACAACATATTTGTTATATCTAAGATAAGCACTTACTATTGAGAAATATGCCATTGAAAATTCACCACATCAAAAGGCAAAATAAAAATGCTTACATGGTGATCTTTATTCTTGTTTTAAACAGTAAATCACTTGAGCTTTGTTGCAAATGTTTCCTGGGTCCTAAAGTCTATGGTCCCAACATTCTAAGCCTTGTAGTTGACAGCCTAGAGTAACTAAAACAATTTTTATTTCTTTTGATGATTACAGCCATCACTGATTATATCATGTTACAAATACAAATTGAAGTGGCTAAAATAATCTCTATAATTGCTGCACACTACTAACCCGTATGACATAAAGCAATGTTCTAGCTTCAAGGTGCCACTATACAAATATATAATTCAAGCGTACAGAAGTTCTGTACAGTAAGATTGTACATTGATTACAAAAATCTAATATGTAGAGTTAGAAACCTTATTTCTAAAAACAAAAAAATCTTACCATTTAAATCCACACTATACTATGTACATTGTGCAATGAAAATGATATCACAGTCAACATGCTAATGCATAAAATAGGCTTAACATGCAAAACAAAATGAGTGACTAGTTAAGCTTTTGCAAAGTTGGATAAACTGAACTCATTGTAACACTTAGCAAAGATTATCATATTTGCAATTTGCAAACTAAAAAATCGATATGGCTGACAAAAATCAGTCAGTCATGTTATTTCTTCCCTAATAATTGTTTCCTCTGCTGTTCCAAAAGCCCCTCCAGGTGGTCTGCTCTCTTCACTGCTGCTTGGTACTGCTGTCTTAGCTGATTTACTGTTTCTTCCTTCTTTGCTATGGCTTGTTTTACTCTATAATTACAGAACATATTTAAATGAATACCTTTGCCATTATGATTTGTAATATGAAAATAAACGTTACCATATCAAAGTTTATCAGTTAAAAAAAATTACATCAATTCTATGATTATCAAGTTTAGTATGCACATATATATAATATGTCACAAATTTAAAATGTTTATTAACTATGAGCTAGTTCAATTTAAATCTTGCAAGTTTATGTTTCTAATAAAAACTAATGATTAAATTGTAGGCTAATGACAAATGGTGTCACTTTCAGTTTTTATCCCTGAAAAACGGCTGAAATCATAAAATGTTTTAAACCACTAATATATCAAATAATGCTTCACAATATACCTTTTATGAACTTCTTCCATTTCTTCATCTTTGGCTTTGTGGATCTGTTCAATCTCCTCTTTGGATTTCTCAAGTTCAATCCTGTGACGAGATTTCATTTCTGCCATTTCCTGTTTCAAACGTTTGCACTCTTCTTCCGTAGCAACAATTCTGTCAGCAAATTCCTGCCTGACAATATCAGTAACTTGTCCTCTCTCACTGCTTAACTTCTCATACAGCTTTTTGGCATCAGCTATTTCACGGTCTTTTTGTCTCAGCTGAACTTTAAATCTTTCATTTTCACCTTCATATTCTGTGAGTCTTGCCTGGGAACAACAAAAGGGAAGTATTAACAATACACATCAAAGAGGGAAAAAGCAACAAATTGTAAAACTGTAGTCCATTTTTCAGAGAAAAAAAGTTTCCAATACCAATACTCTGCACAAAGTCTTCAATTCTGTCCTTTTTCAGCCCAAACATATTTCACTGGTAACATCAACAAAAAAACCATATACTAGCCCTTCACAGAAACCAATCTTAAACACTCTTTAAAAAAGCTTCCAAACCTTCATTTCGTTGTATTTCTCCATGGCTTGTCTTTCCGATCTATCCAGTTCTTGGATTTCTCCTTCGTACTTGTCTCGGATTCTCCTGATATTTGATATCAATAGAACTTGTTTACATTTTACATTCTAACTTGGATCAAGGTGCTAATTTAATCTTATTCAATGGATAATGGTGGCAAAATAGGATCTGTACTTTATATTCTGTTTTAAAACATCCTACATCCATTACAAAATCCTGAATTCGCAAATCAAACATTTTTATATATCGGAAACATTCAATCAATTAGTCTATGACAATTTTGGAAAAAAATATTCTTACTTTATCCTATTTTCAGCTGCTCTCTCACATTCTTCCCTCGATGAAGATGCATCTTCTTCTAGCCTTTGTATGACCAGTTCAATCTCTTTGTCCCTTTCTCGTCTTACTTGCTCCTTTAATTCTCTTTCTTTTTGAATCAGCCAAGTCTCTTGCTTTTTCTTGTAGTTTTCTTCCCATGCATCTTTTTCTAATTTTACTTTCTCTTTCATGTCCCTAATTTCTGCCTATTTTCAAAAGGTTCAAAATAAAGGGGTTGTATTGAATTATTGGTATACATATAGAGATTTGTATTAAATAAAACAAAATATCAGAAAATTAACAAACAGCAACAAATACTTTTATATTCAGTGCTATATCTCCATTACTTCATAATGATTCAGAACATTAATTTTAGTAACACCCTCCCCCTAGTTAAAAAAAATTCTACAGAATAACACAAATATAAAATGAAATATCACACTGTTCTCAATACTTACTTCATGCCTGCGTTCCTGCTCTTCCCTAGCTGTGTCATACTCAGATCTCATGGCTTCCACTGCATTCTGATGGCTCTCTTCAAGCTGGCGCTGAAGCTTATCCATCTCAGTACGCTGACGAGCAGCTTGCTGTGCAATACGTTCTTTTTCTTCAGCAATTTCTTGATAGAGTCTACGCCTCTGTTGTTGGTATGCCTCTTCTTCTTGCTGTAGCTGCTTTTCATATCTTAAACATGATTACATTTGTTTTCAATTTATGAGATACTAAGTTGCAATACCAGTGATTCTGTCTTTGCAACCTGGTCTTACTTTGTCAGGTCGATTTCTTAAGGTCTATTTAAATTCTAAAGTTGTGAAAAATAGTGAATTGCACTGAGAATTCTAATATTGAAGTTCATATCTGAACTATTGCTAAAAAGCTGTAGAGCTTTATTTTGCTACCATATCATACAAAGCCAAATGTACATTCAAGCAAATTCTTTTATTGTTCAGTTACCTGTCTCTTGCCAACTCTCTTTCTCTCTGACAAGCCATGTCTTTCTCCCTTTCCAGTTGCTCACGGAGTTCCTCATTCATCCTAACATAACGTCCTCCAGCTCTCTCATCTGCATTCAACAACTCTGCTTCATGAATCTGCTTCAGCTTCTTCATTTCCTGCTTGTGTTTTGCTATCAACCTCTGGATTTCAGGTTCCAAACCTTTGACCGTCATTTCCTGAAAGAACACACACACATTTTGAAAACAACTTAATCATGCCACTGCCCCAACAAGCCCTTCATGTACCCTATTCATTCACAAGTGAACAGCATTTCTTCTCTTCAGGTAGACTGTGGGAAAATATTCACATTTATGTTACAAGGAAGGTAATATTTTTAGGAATGAGGAAAAATTCTTNATAAGACACACTGAGGCTTTATGTGTAGGTTTTTTAATAGATTGTCACAATTTTTGCAGAAATATTTAACCAAATAGAGAAAAGCTAACTGTGTAAAGGTTAGTCATCAATCAGTTTAACAAATATTAGTTATATTTGCCATTCTTTTCTGTCAGAAATGTAAGACTGAGGCCCCCAAAAATTAAGCTATTGTAATATGCTGTATTCAGTTGTTTATATATTTTTGTTGTAGGGGTCTAACTGATGAGAGTGAAATCCTCAAGTTTCTCCAGCATGGTACCCTGGTGGGTCTGCTGCCTGTGCCCCATCCTATACTGATCAGGAAGTACCAGCCAAACAGTGGTACTACCATGTGGTTCCGTACTTATATGTGGGGAGTCATATACCTCAGGTATATATATGTAGCACACTCACTGAAATTCAGAGTTGTGATTCCTTAGTGTGTCAATGGAAAAACGTTGAATGATTTTGATAGTAGTACATTCATTTGCAAGTCATTATCTCAGGAATTTGTTAAATATTAAGATTTTCCAAAGAAAAAATCATAATCTGACTGAGCCTTACTTGGACTGTTTGTTATACAAACTGCACACAGCTATTGGTAAAAAAAAAGATTAATGTTACCTTGTATATAAGTGCCTCAAAGTTGGCCACATTGAAAAGTAAAAAAATTGAGTGCACTGGAAATGGAGAATAAGGTTGGTCAGTGGTCTTTGTTTATGAACTTTTTTTTCCTTTTCAGAAATGTGGATCCTCCTATTTGGTATGACACAGATGTGAAGCTATTTGAAATACAGAGGGTTTAGTAAATTTATACATAGGTTGAGAAAGAGTGGCGGTAACAACAATGAAAAAGGTGTTCAAAAATTCTTCAAGATGGGGATTTTTTTCTCTTCTTTCTTTGTGGGTAAAATTTTAGGGTGAAGCAGCACTTGACATTTGTTATTTTTCTTATGTTATAAAAATGAAATATAAGTAAACAGAGATAAGGCCACAGAGATCTAATATTGTCATCATCTTGTGTTCAATAATCAATCATATGTATTAGTAAAAAGGCCGTTAAGAATATATATATATATATATATATAGGAGATTTTATTTCTACATGTTGCTATATGGAGAATGCACTATTTTAGAGAATGGGTTTAATTGTTTGGAGCCCTTTATGGTAGGATAATTTTTGTTGTTTCTCAATGTGCTTTAAATGAGCACATGCACACTTGGAGATCTTGGATGTAATTTTATTGAATCTAGGTCGATGTTTGCATGTTTTTGTTCACACTACATTTCTCAATATTTGTAAGTGCTTATAACAGGCACATATGTGACAGCACAGTAAAATATATAGTTCTTTTGCTTTACTTGGTGCCATTGTGAAGACATTCCATATCTCTGTAGGTAGTTGATGCAAAAGTACTTTAGCAATGAGAAGTGTTTGAAACTGATGATTGTAATGCCTTTTCTGTTGATGTAAGATTACATTCCTGTTAATTCAACCCATATAGTAGTGAACATAGCAAGGGCTATTTGTTAGTTACATTTTTCTTTTTGTTATTTTAAGAGTGGTAAAAGTCAGTACCATAGGCTTTTAATGTGTTACAGGGTGCTCAGGATGTCTACAGCTGCTGAGAATATAGAAAGGACATTGAATCTCCAGATCGTTTCAAAATTTTGTACCTTTGATTATTTCAAAATATAAGTAAGGTGTCAGTTTGCATCAAAGGATATTCAGTGTTGAAATTTACTAACTTTAGCAGAGTACGTGTGAAATTTAATGAGTAAGATTACCTATTAAATCTATTAATTGAAGATTGAACAGTTTTAATTCTTAGTTTGTATAAAGTGCACATTTTATTACAGTCAAGATTTAATTTTTTTAAAGAAAAAGTTAAAGGGATAATAACTCCTCGTTTTAGCCAAAAAATGAATTTTCTTGGAGTTAACAACAATTTCCCCATACTTACCAATGGTTAATGAATTCATTTTTACATTCAAAGTTAGTCCCTGTTTTTTTTCTAAAAAGTTTGGTTTTTGGTTAAAATCTCTTAAGAGATTATAACAGAGTATAGCCATTAATGGAGGTCATGTGGTCTGAAGACAAGCTCAGATATCAGAATAATAGCTGTAACTGCTGTTTTGTGCTAAAACAGAATATATTATATTTCTATGAGTTATTCACAATGTTTTTATTGTGAAATATAGATCTCATACAAAGAGTTATTATCCCTTTAAAAGGTGATTTAATGCACCATTATTTTCCTGTCAAGGATTTTTTGGAATATTAAGCATACAGATTAAATTAGAGGCACATTTTATTACAGTAAAGATTCATTTTTTTTTTTTTTAAGAAAAAGTTTAAAGTTGATTTAATGCACATTTTTCCTGTCATGGAGTCTTTGGAATATTTAGCTTACAAATTAAATTAGACAGTGCCAAGACATGTTGGCAAAATGATTTTAAGTGCAATAAATGATAATTGACGTTGTGCATTGTATCAAATAAATTACTGGATGTTTTGTTGGCATTTGTTCACCATTTTATTTGAATGTTAAAATGTATAAATAAATCACAGTGATACAAAAGGAAAAATCATTTGTATAAATGTGACCATTTATTTAAAATAAGCCAAAGGATTACACAAAACAAATGGGTACAGTAACAGAGATGGCAACAAAGTGGGAAATGCAGAAAAAAAAACTTTAGGGAAAGGAGATTAACATCATATTTGTTATATCTAAGATAAGCACTTACTATTGAGAAATATGCCATTGAAAATTCACCACATTAAAAGGCAAAATAAAAATGCTTACATGGTGATCTTTATTCTTGTTTTAAACAGTAAATCACTTGAGCTTTGTTGCAAATGTTTCCCGGGTCCTAAAGTCTATGGTCCCAAAATTCTAAGCCTTGTAGTTGACAGCCTAGAGTAACTAAAACAATTTTTTCTTTTGATGATTACAGCCACTAACTGATTATATCATGTTACAAATACAAATTGAAGTGGCTAAAATAATCTCTATTGCTGCACACTACTAACCCGTATGACATAAAGCAATGTTCTAGCTTAAAGGTGCCACTATACAAATATATAATTCAAGCATACAAAAGTTCTGTACAGTAAGATTGTACATTGATTACAAAAATCTAATATGTAGAGTTAGAAACCTTATTTCTAAAAACAAAAAACATCTTACCATTTAAATCCACACTATGTACATTGTGCAATGAAAATGATATCACAGTCAACATGTTAATGCATAAAATAGGTTTAACATGCAAAACAAAATGAGTGACTAGTTAAGCTTTTGCAAAGTTGGATAAACTGAACTCATTGTAACACTTAGCAAAGATTATCATATTTGCAATTTGCAAACTAAAAAAAATCGATATGGCTGACAAAAATCAGTCAGTCATGTTATTTCTTCCCTAATAATTGTTTCCTCTGCTGTTCCAAAAGCCCCTCCAGGTGGTCTGCTCTCTTCACTGCTGCTTGGTACTGCTGTCTTAGCTGATTTACTGTTTCTTCCTTCTTTGCTATGGCTTGTTTTACTCTATAATTACAGAACGTATTTAAATGAATACCTTTGCCATTATGATTTGTAATATAAAAATAAACGTTACCATATCAAAGTTCATCAGTTAAAAAAGATTATTAATTCTATGATTATCAAGTTTAGTATGCACGTATATATATAATATGTCACAAATTTAAAATGTTAATTAACTATGAGCTAGTTCAATTTAAATCTTGCAAGTTTATGTTTCTAATAAAAACTAATGATTAAATTGTAGGCTAATGACAAATGGTGTCACTTTCAGTTTTTATCACTGAAAAACAGCTGAAATCATAAAATGTTTTAAACCGCTAATATATCAAATAATGCTTCACAATATACCTTTTATGAACTTCTTCCATTTCTTCATCTTTGGCTTTGTGGATCTGTTCAATCTCCTCTTTGGATTTCTCAAGTTCAATCCTGTGACGAGATTTCATTTCTGCCATTTCCTGTTTCAAACGTTTGCACTCTTCTTCTGTAGCAACAATTCTGTCAGCAAATTCCTGCCTGACAATATCAGTCACTTGTCCTCTCTCACTGCTTAACTTCTCATACAGCTTTTTGGCATCAGCTATTTCACGGTCTTTTTGTCTCAGCTGAACTTTAAATCTTTCATTTTCACCTTCATATTCTGTGAGCCTTGCCTGGGAACAACAAAAGGGAAGTATGAACAATACACATCAAAGAGGGAAAAAACAACCAATTGTAAAATTGTAATCCATTTTTCAGAGAAAAAAAGTTTCCAATACCAATACTCTGCACAGTCTTCAATTCTGTCCTTTTTCAGCCCAAACATATTTCACTGGTAACATCAACAAAGAAACCATATACTAGCCCTTCACAGAAACCAATCTTAAACACTCTTTAAAAAAGCTTCCAAACCTTCATTTCGTTGTATTTCTCCATGGCTTGTCTTTCCGATCTATCCAGTTCTTGGATTTCTCCTTCGTACTTGTCTCGGATTCTCCTGATATTTGATATCAATAGAACTTGTTTACATTTTACATTCTAACTTGGATCAAGGTGCTAATTTAATCTTATTCAATGGATAATGGTGGCAAGATAGGATCTGTACTTCATATTCTGTTTTAAAACATCCTACATCCATTACAAAATCCTGATTTCGCAAATCAAACATTTTTATATATTGGAAACATTCAATCAATTAGTCTATGACAATTTTGGTAAAAAAATATTCTTACTTTATCCTATTTTCAGCTGCTCTCTCACATTCTTCCCTTGATGAAGATGCATCTTCTTCTAGCCTTTGTATGACCAGTTCAATCTCCTTGTCCCTTTCTCGTCTTACTTGCTCCTTTAATTCTCTTTCTTTTTGAATCAGCCAAGTCTCTTGCTTTTTCTTGTAGTTTTCTTCCCATGCATCTTTTTCTAATTTTACTTTCTCTTTCATGTCCCTAATTTCTGCCTATTTTCAAAAGGTTCAAAATAAAGGGGTTGTATTTAATTATTGGTATACATATAGAGATTTGTATTAAATAAAACAAAATATCAGACAATTAACAAACAGCAGCAAATACTTCTATATTCAGTGCTACATCTCCATTACTTCATAATGATTCAGAACATTAATTTTAGTAACAACCTCCCCCTAGTTAAAAAAAATTCTACAGAATAACACAAATATAAAATGAAATATCACATTGTTCTCAATACTTACCTCATGCCTGCGTTCCTGCTCTTCCCTAGCTGTGTCATACTCAGATCTCATGGCTTCCACTGCATTCTGATGGCTCTCTTCAAGCTGGCGCTGAAGCTTATCCATCTCTGTACGCTGACGAGCAGCTTGCTGTGCAATACGTTCTTTTTCTTCAGCAATTTCTTGATAGAGTCTACGCCTCTGTTGTTGGTATGCCTCTTCTTCTTGCTGTAGCTGCTTTTCATATCTTAAACATGATTACATTTGTTTTCAATTTATGGGATACTAAGTTGCAATACCAGTGATTCTGTCTTTTCAACCTGGTCTTACTTTGAAGGCCGATTTCTTAGGCATATTTAAATTTTTTAGCTGTGAAAAACTGAATTGCACTGAGAATTCTAATATTGAAGCTAATACCTTAACTACTGCTAAAAAAGCTGTAGAGCTTTATTTTACTACCATATCATACAAAGCCAAACAAACATTTAAGCAAATCCTTTTATTGTCTCTCTTACCTGTCTCTTGCCAACTCTCTTTCTCTCTGACAAGCCATGTCTTTCTCCCTTTCCAGTTGCTCACGGAGTTCCTCATTCATCCTCACATAACGTCCTCCAGCTCTCTCATCTGCATTCAACAACTCTGCTTCATGAATCTGCTTTAGCTTCTTCATTTCCTGCTTGTGTTTTGATATCAACCTCTGGATTTCAGGTTCCAAACCTTTGACCGTCATTTCCTGAAAGATCACACACACATTTTGAAAACAACTTAATCATGCCACTGCTCCAACAAGCCCTTCATGTACCCTATTCATTCACAAGTGAACAGCATTTCTTCTCTTTAGGTAGACTGTGGGGGAAATATTCACATTTATGTTACAAGGAAGGTAATATTTTTAGGAATGAGGAAAAATTCTGATGTTAATGAATACCTTAATTTTCTTGGTCTTCTCATCAATCCACTTTTCCCTCCTAATTTTTTCAGCTGCTGATGTCATCTCTTTCACTTTGTCCATCTCAATCTGATGACTGAAAGATAGTTTTAATGTTTAATTTATTCTTTTTCAAGGAACTATACATTTCATACCCTAATTCATGGTGGTCATAATGAAAAATTCCTGAAATCTCCATACAAATACTTATACAAAGGATAAAAACACTTCCAGTAATAATGCTTACTTTTCTTCAAGGCTCTTTATTTTGTCAGTGTATTTCTTCACCATAGTCTTCACATCTTTATCAAGCTGCTCACATCTCTCTCCAAGAACCTTCTTGTCATCAATTAGCTGAATCAATATAAAATATTAAATACAATTTTTTTATTCCTTTTAAATGACCTATATGACTACTAAACTTTAAATTTAAACAAAAAATAAATAAATGACGCACCCAATCAAAACAGATATTAAATATCTGACTTATGAACTTCAACCCCTTGGAAATGATGGTATTAAAAGGGGCTTACCTGATCAATAAATGATAAATGTCTCTTAATGGCCTCTTCATATTCTTCCTTCTGTACAAATAATCTCTTTTTCATTTCTTTTTCTGTCTCTTTCGCATGTCTAACAGNTAGCCTTTGTATGACCAGTTCAATCTCTTTGTCCCTTTCTCGTCTTACTTGCTCCTTTAATTCTCTTTCTTTTTGAATCAGCCAAGTCTCTTGCTTTTTCTTGTAGTTTTCTTCCCATGCATCTTTTTCTAATTTTACTTTCTCTTTCATGTCCCTAATTTCTGCCTATTTTCAAAAGGTTCAAAATAAAGGGGTTGTATTGAATTATTGGTATACATATAGAGATTTGTATTAAATAAAACAAAATATCAGAAAATTAACAAACAGCAACAAATACTTTTATATTCAGTGCTATATCTCCATTACTTCATAATGATTCAGAACATTAATTTTAGTAACACCCTCCCCCTAGTTAAAAAAAATTCTACAGAATAACACAAATATAAAATGAAATATCACACTGTTCTCAATACTTACTTCATGCCTGCGTTCCTGCTCTTCCCTAGCTGTGTCATACTCAGATCTCATGGCTTCCACTGCATTCTGATGGCTCTCTTCAAGCTGGCGCTGAAGCTTATCCATCTCAGTACGCTGACGAGCAGCTTGCTGTGCAATACGTTCTTTTTCTTCAGCAATTTCTTGATAGAGTCTACGCCTCTGTTGTTGGTATGCCTCTTCTTCTTGCTGTAGCTGCTTTTCATATCTTAAACATGATTACATTTGTTTTCAATTTATGAGATACTAAGTTGCAATACCAGTGATTCTGTCTTTGCAACCTGGTCTTACTTTGTCAGGTCGATTTCTTAAGGTCTATTTAAATTCTAAAGTTGTGAAAAATAGTGAATTGCACTGAGAATTCTAATATTGAAGTTCATATCTGAACTATTGCTAAAAAGCTGTAGAGCTTTATTTTGCTACCATATCATACAAAGCCAAATGTACATTCAAGCAAATTCTTTTATTGTTCAGTTACCTGTCTCTTGCCAACTCTCTTTCTCTCTGACAAGCCATGTCTTTCTCCCTTTCCAGTTGCTCACGGAGTTCCTCATTCATCCTAACATAACGTCCTCCAGCTCTCTCATCTGCATTCAACAACTCTGCTTCATGAATCTGCTTCAGCTTCTTCATTTCCTGCTTGTGTTTTGCTATCAACCTCTGGATTTCAGGTTCCAAACCTTTGACCGTCATTTCCTGAAAGAACACACACACATTTTGAAAACAACTTAATCATGCCACTGCCCCAACAAGCCCTTCATGTACCCTATTCATTCACAAGTGAACAGCATTTCTTCTCTTCAGGTAGACTGTGGGAAAATATTCACATTTATGTTACAAGGAAGGTAATATTTTTAGGAATGAGGAAAAATTCTTATGTTAATGAATACCTTAATTTTCTTGGTCTTCTCATCAATCCACTTTTCCCTCCTAATTTTTTCAGCTGCTGATGTCATCTCTTTCACTTTGTCCATCTCAATCTGATGACTGAAAGATAGTTTTAATGTTTAATTTATTCTTTTTCAAGGAACTATACATTTCATACCCTAATTCATGGTGGTCATAATGAAAAATTCCTGAAATCTCCATACAAATACTTATACAAAGGATAAAAACACTTCCAGTAATAATGCTTACTTTTCTTCAAGGCTCTTTATTTTGTCAGTGTATTTCTTCACCATAGTCTTCACATCTTTATCAAGCTGCTCACATCTCTCTCCAAGAACCTTCTTGTCATCAATTAGCTGAATCAATATAAAATATTAAATACAATTTTTTTATTCCTTTTAAATGACCTATATGACTACTAAACTTTAAATTTAAACAAAAAATAAATAAATGACGCACCCAATCAAAACAGATATTAAATATCTGACTTATGAACTTCAACCCCTTGGAAATGATGGTATTAAAAGGGGCTTACCTGATCAATAAATGATAAATGTCTCTTAATGGCCTCTTCATATTCTTCCTTCTGTACAAATAATCTCTTTTTCATTTCTTTTTCTGTCTCTTTCGCATGTCTAACAGTCAGCTCACGCTGCTGATTCTGAACAAGAAAAAAAAAAAGACCAGTATTACAAATCCCTAACTTATTCTACAAAACACTTAAGATAAATATCAAACATTACATTTGCTTAGTTTAACAATACACTTCTTTTTCTACATTAATTTTTTTTTTCAAACCAGTAAACTGGTCAAAAATTAAAATTTCAATATATTAGTTTTTCAGGGCAAATAAACGCTCTATTACGGTGTGTTAAATTCAACTATAGCATCAGTCAAGTTAAAAAAAAAATTTTTTTAATAAAATAAAATAAAATAAAATAAAATAAAATAAAATAAAATAAAAATTATGGGGAGGCAAAGTTAACTTTTTATAAAAACAGTATCCAGTAGTGGCACAGCAACAAAGAAATCATACCAATGCCTTTTGCAGCATAGCCACTGTACGTTTCTTCTCCTCTAGTTCAAGCTTCTGTGCTAACACTGTGTTGGTGACCTCAGCAGCTGCGGCAGACGCATGTTCCATCTGTACTATCTCATCTGCTGAGGGCACCAGCATTGGTGGCAACTCAAACACCTCCGCTGTGTGGCGGTTAACATCCTAGAAAATAATGCAAAGAGAGCAATAAATAAGGAATTTGAAGTCTCTAAAGGTAAGTATTTTACAAATAATGGCATATTTTATTTCTTAACTTTTTTAACAATGCAAGTAACTTATATTAATATGGCACTTCACATTTGCATTTCAGGTCAATGTCTATAAGCAATATCAATTTGTCATAATCTCATTTTCTAAGCAAAACCTTGGCAAATAATTCAAATGCATTCCAGAAGTGAATAAAACATTCCAGCTTTTCAATATGCTCAGGGTTTTTTATTACCTCTTGATTTATGTGGTCAATTTCAGACAACCTCTCTGCAGTATCAACATCATCTAGGAAAGAGAGTATACTTCTCAATTTGTCTTCTGTCATAGTTCCACTTTTCTTCACATTGTCCCTGGCATTCAGCTTTTCCAACTTATCAGAGGTCAAGTAGCTTTCATCTTCACTACCTCCTGAGTGTTTTTCATTGCTTTCTGCTGGAAATCAAATAGAAGAATGAGAATTAATCATAAAGAAGACCTGAAATCTTAGCACATTGGTATCATATGTTACTTGACTTGTAATAAAAACTCTCGATATATCAATGCAAAATGGATATTGTGTTTAAATGATATTCTTGTTCAAGTTCTTCGCCCTGTGGTCATGCCAATTTAAACTGTCTTCATGAATGAGCTGAAATTTATATACACATTAAAACTTCTGCTCTGAATCTTATATATTCCACACATATTAACACACCCCAGGCCTTCTTTTCATTCTTTGGTGATGGGAATTTATCTTCAGCTTCTAATTCTTTCAGAGTTTCTAAGAGATCATCAAGAGTTGTCTTAGTTGCTGCCTGACTAACTGTCCTTGCTGTAGCCCCTTGTACCTCTCCACCCTCAGCCTCCTCTCTGGTGACTTCAGTTCTATCAGTAGGTTGTGATTCTACTTCATTGTTCAGAGGCCCATTATCCTGAAAAAGGGGAATTGGATTTCTCATATCATATCCAAAATCATATTTGGACTTCTGACAAGTACCTGTAAATATACTTAATATTCAACCAGCAATGCTGATTGTTTCAAAATTCATACCAAAGAAGATATGTGGTGTAGATGTCAATGTGGAAAAGGTACAAATGGTTTCCTTTGCCACGTGCATCACCTTACCTGGAATATTTCCTCAACTTTTCTATTGAAACTTTCTGGTGTTTTAAGTGGTGGATCAGAGTCACTGTCTTCTGCTGTCTTATTGTCCGATTTCTTTGATCTGGCTGGTCTCTTTTTAACATTTGATCTTGAATTCTTGCCAACCTTTCCACTGGCCTGAAACATGTATAGAATAAGTCTTCAACAATAGCAAAAAGCAAAAAGCAAAAAATAAAAATAAAATAAAATTAATAAAACAATATTTCACCTTATTAAAGTTTTTCCATATATATATATATATATATATATATATATATATATATATATATATATATATATATATATATATATATATATATTTTACTAGATACATACATGTATATGCTGTATATATAAGGCCCTTTGCTTGAATCACACACTAGTATGCTACATATTTCAAAGTGATGACAATGAATAATGACAATCACCTCTAAATTTGCTAGTTCTTCTTCCACAATCTGTTTGTTTTCTAATCTTTTTTCCTCTCTCTTTTTTTGGAGTTCCTAAAAATAGATAGGCACATGTATTTAAAACTGGAAACATTACAATATTTTAAATGTCAATGCAATCAGTATCAGGAGGAGATGCAGTTTCCAAAAGAACAAAAAATAAAAAATAAAAAAATTAATTCCTGTACCTGTATAGCCTGTTGTCTTGCTTGGCGTGCCCGTTCTTCTCTCCTTTTCTTTTGTTCTTCTTCAGCTCTTTCCTTTGCTGCAAGTTCTTTTTGTTCTCTGTCCTTTTGCTCTTCTCTCTGCTGTTTTTTCTGCTGCAATAGTCTTTTCATTGCTGCCTCCCCAGCTCTGCTGACTTCCACAGAACTTCCTCTTTTCCTCCTTGAGCACTGACGTCTGTACCATCTCTGAATCTTGGTTGCAGACATATTAACAGTCTTAATATAATCCTCAGCAATGTTCCTTCCAACAGGAGTACTGGGACTCCTTTTCACTTGATTCACCGGAGTTTTGTGTTTTATGTTCTGAAAGGAGTTCTCCATATCACTAAATGAAGTCTTTGCCACTGAGGTCATGGGAGGAGATTTCATATTATTTGCAATGCTATTGGCATTCAGATTAAGAGATTTCGGTGGGGATTTTGGTCTCTGACTATTCAGCCTCGCAGAGTCAGCTGTCTGTTCATCCACTTCAACGGCAGTGACCACAGATTCAAGTTCCAAAGCCTGAGACTTCCTTGTTGACTCAACAGACGGCCTGGTCACCACTGACCCTCCTGATCGTCTAAACCATTCATCTGCAGTGTGGTCCGTCCTATGGGTGACTTCTGGAACTGCATCACTGTCTACTGTCATTGAGCTCCGGGCACTGACAGGATGGAATATACTGTGTGGACGTCTACTGTTGGTCTCAGATCTGTCAGTTAACTGTGAATTCACTGTACTTGTACTTCTAGCACTGACAGGTAATGGGCTGTTTTTGGGGAGCTGGAAAATCAAACAAATTATTAGGAAAATTGAAATAACTCCTATTCAACCATCATAAAAATTACCAAGTTGTAGATCTTGCATTGAATAACAAGATAATAAGTGGCTTTTGGATATCCCCCCCCCTCCCCCCACTGTAAACTTCTATGAACTATTGAGTAGGGCTTAGGGCTTAGCTTTTAACATTTTATATTTCACTGAACACATTTATCAATGATAAAATATTTCGGTTACTGCCTCCTGCAAAATCCAAAGAGCAAAACAAAACAAACATTAACATTTACAAGAGGCATTTCACCTACTCACCAAATCATTGTGCACTGCTTTTATGGCCCCTGTAGGTTTCACTGCCTTGCTGCTGGCCTGTTTTATCTTGGGTTGGGCATTCTCAAAGAGAGCTAAGAACTCATCTCTGAAACAAAAGAGATCCAATATAAATGGAAACAACTCAACTCATGCTATGGCAGGTTGCTTCTAAAGCATTCA